TGATTAAAATGAAACACCACTATATATATAGGGTTACATTTTTTTAACCAAAAATTGGGGATTTTTTTTAAATCAGAGAAAACCAGGATCCCTCGTAATATGCATAGGTCATTATTGCTAACAATATGCATAGGTCATTATTGCTAACTATAAATGACAGTATTTTCACCTTGCCTCTGAATTTTCTTGTTTTGGGGGGGTTTAAACGTGTAATAATTTTGGTTTAACAGATACTTTTAGCAAAAAGTTTTCATTTCACTTAGATTTCATTAATGACACACTGACTACTTCTTTTATATTTATTTCTGTTTCCAGTTCCAGCAGCGGTCACAAATCTGAAGATCACAGAAAGCACCACTGAATGCCTGTCCTTCAGCTGGACTGCCTCCAAGGGAGAATTAGACTCATATGATATCTTTCTGTACAATCCAGACAAATCCCTTCAGCACAGAATTTCAGGGGACCAGAGCCTTGAGAAGTGTTCTTTCCCGAACTTGCAGCAAGGCAGGATGTACAGAATGGTGATTGTTACCCACAGTGGAGACCTTACTAATGAGTCATCTATCTTTGGAAGAACAGGTAAAAGCATCCAGCAAGACGATCTGTCTTCAATGAGATGTTCATTAAGGACACTAATGAGCTAATCTAAGAGCCTGAAATCTTGTGCTAGACTAGTAAAACTGCTAACAGTACCCACTCTATCTTTATACATCTAAAAAGAACCTGAATTCTAAATTATGGAACACCTGATGTGAAAAATGTATAATATAGTCGCATTATATTAGCTGCATTATACAAAGATATCTGTGTTGTGCTAGGTACAGTATAGGCATACAATTATAATGCAATTCCCTTCCCCAAAAGAGCTTAAAATATTTGTTAATGACAAGACTTAATATGGAAGCAAACTGTGAGGGGTAAAAGTAAAGAGAAAATAGGAGTGGAAGTTTTTCAGGGTAAGCACCTACTGTAGCTCACTAACTGTGTAGCCATTATCAAGTGTCAGAGTTCTGTTGGCGTTCACAAAGCCAGCATTGCTGCCCAGGGAACCTGTGCTAGTCTCCCACTACTAGCATGCACCCAAAATATGAATCCCACACTGTAAACTTGTGCATGTTCATCACATCGTAATATACATTGTCCTTTCCAGTTCCAGCCTCAGTTGTTAATCTCAAAGCATCTAACAGAAACATGACGGACAGTCTTTGGTTCACCTGGGGCCCAGCATCAGGAGATGTAGATTTTTATGAACTAAATCTTTATAATCCAAATGGCACACAGAAGGAAACATGGCAGAGGAAAGACCTGAGAGAGTGGCATTTCCAAGGGCTGGTTCCTGGCAGAAAATACACCTTGGTTGTAGTAACCCACAGCGGTGACCTGACTAATACAGCAAATGCTGGGGGAAGAACAGGTAAAGAACCACATAAGGCTTTTGTCTCTCTGAACTATCAGATTTCACATTTTCAATGATACATGGTAGATTTATTCCAAGATAACATTTTTATTATGTGGATTATTAAAGGAGTCAAAGAGTACACATGAGACACTTGTAAATGATATTACCAGGGCCACCCCTGGGGGGGGACAAATCGAGGTGACCACCCCAGGCCCCATGCTTTGCAGGGCCCTGTGGAGCCAGGCACAGCAGCAGCAGAGCAGAGCCAGGCATGACTGTGGCTTTGTATCCAGCTGCTCATTTCCCACCCCCAGCCGCTGACACTGCCACCACCAATGGCGGCGGCAGCTTCTTTAGGTCTGGGATCGGAGTGGGAGTGAGGCCCCACATGGGCTGATTTGCCCCAGGCCTCACACCCTACTCAGGTCACCTCTGGATATTACATTAATGGCATGAACTAAATCAGGGTCTAGCTGGCTTGTTTGGAGTCCTGTTTTTTATTGATGTTATTTTACAAAGGCTAAAGAATGTAGAAGGTAATAAGTGTCTTGTCACCCACAACTCATTCTTTATACAAATGTCATGTGAACCATTTCTTCTCTTTTTTCCCTGGTCTAGCACCCAGCCCTCCTAATGCTGTATCATTTGCTGATGTTGCAAACACCTCCCTATCGATCACTTGGATGGGCCCTTCAGATCGGACAGATTATGATGACTTTGAGTTGCAGTGGTCCCCAAAAGATCATCTCACAGTATTCAACCCTTACAGCAGCAACAAATCAAAGGGGCGTATTGTGTACGGACTTCGACCAGGGAGGCTTTATAAGTTCAGTGTTAGGACTGTCAGTGGTAACAGTTGGAAGACATATAGTCAAACAGTGTCTGAAACTGTGAGAACAAGTAGGTACCCATTTTGTTCAACACTCTTCCTTTGTGATTGTTCAGAAATATCATGATGTACTCAACCCACATCTCAAGTTCCAAACTCCATGGCTGACCTGTATGTCTGAGATGGACTTTAATTCTCAAAGTATCCCTTCTGTGATGGGCTATAAAAATGGGCCATCCGAGGAAAAGAATAGGGCTAGAGGGTGGATGAGAAGAACTGTGGAAAAGTTAAGCAGCTGTGATTCACACATCTGTGATTTCCCCTAGTAGCAATTCATGCTATAGGTGAGTGGAAATTCATGACTAAGTTCTAGGGCTGTGCAAAGCTTTGGTCCCGGATTCAATTAGGTGGAGATTTGGCTTGATTCGGTGGCCAAATCTCCGAATCAAATCAGAGGACCCTTTAGTCTCTCAGAATCGAACTGGAACCCTCTGAATTGATTCGGAGAGATTCAGAGGTTCAGACAGACACAGCTTTAAATGTTTTTTCTACATACATCTAGGTAGCAGACAGCTCTTGAGTGCTGCGATGCTGGGCATCCCACAGAAGCGCGGGGAGCTCCCCAGTGTGCTCGGCAGCAGATCTGGAAGTGGACCAGAAGCACTTCCGTTGCACTTCTGAGTCCTCCAGGGATTGCGCTGGGGGTGGGGAGGGATGCCCTGCACCTCCCTGGTTCAGAGACTGGTGCCTCCTGAGTCTGGGGGGGCACCTGGGGTCTCCCCACGGCTGATTGCTGAGCTGGGGAGGTACAGGGGGGGCCCCCAGTGCGCTCCCTGGCAGACCTGGAAGTGGACCAGAAGTACTTCCAGTCCACTTCCGGGTTCGCTGCCAAGCACAGTGGGAAGCCTTCTGTGCTCCTGGGAAATGCTCCATGCGCCCCAGCACTGCAGTGATCATGAAACGCGCTGCTACCTCAAGGTATGTAGAAAAAACTTTTAAAGCTGTGCCTGTGTCCAAATCGCTGATTTGCTGAATCAGCATTGAATCTTCAGATTCGGATTTGACTGAATCGAATCAGGGACTGATCCAAATCAACGGATTGAATCACTGTCCCTGATTCAGGCCAAATCTGAATTGAGTAAGGCCCGCTTTGCACTCCCCTACTAAGTTCAGACCAAATTCTAGAAGAAAAATACTACAAAACATTTGTCTCTTTCTTTGTTCAGAAGTTTGTCCTGATCAGTTTTTTTTTTCCTTTATGCTTGAGGGTAATGTAGGGGTCTTACATTTCAGAACTCTTAGAAGTATTTGCAAAGTAGCTCTTAAATTATACTTTGCAACTGTAAGTTAATCTTTAGGGCGTCAGAAATTGGCACCCAAGATCAGTAGTCACTTGAAAAATACTGCTTTTCTACTGTAAGGTAGAAAAGGTTGTAAAAGGTATTCATTTCAATTATAGTGAATAATTTTTTTTTTCTTTTTAACTAGATGTAGCCTGCAAACCTTCTCAAAAGTATCATAGTTGTACACTACATACCTGTTGTAGTTTTCATGAGACTACATGGAGGAAGGGGGGGTGGGGATTGCTTTTATTATTAATTACTAAAGTTTCACATACCCTAAGAAGTCAAAGGCACTAACTGTAGTCCTGGATGGATAGATTGAGCCAAAATGAATTTAAATGACAGTCATGTATCATTCCTGTGGGGGAGGGTAGCGTTTCTGATTCTGAGCCCCCTGCTTTAATCAGACTACCAATTTAGAGTACTAAGTATGAAGTCCACAAAGCGCGTATGAAATATATTAATCAGGTCTTCTTCACCATTGAACTTCAACTTACCAACTTCTCCTCCATCTTAGAACCAGACAGGATACAAAACCTTCATTGTCGACCACAGACCTCTACTGCCATAGCATGTTCCTGGGCTCCTCCTGACTCTGACTTTGATGGATATAACATTGAGTGTAAAAAAATGGATACTGGGGAAGTTGCATTTTCCAAAAGGATAGAGAAAGAGAAATCTTTGTTTAACATCATGACACTAGTACCCCACAAGAGATACATGGTGTCCATCAGAGTACATTCTGCAGACATGACCAGTGAAGTAGTTGAAGACAGCACTATCACTATGATAGATCGTAAGTCCTTTGTATACGCATAATTTAAATATGGGGAAGGTGAAGATGGAAAGGATGAATCATCTGTTCCCATTAGTTAGTCAACAGTAGACTTTCCAACCTTCAAATCTTCAATATGCAACACCAGGCATTGAAATATGTAGCCAGATCATGGAACCTCTGTGTTTAGCTGCACATTGCACAAGACTATCTGAAGTTTTAACTATAAAATAATTTCTTAAAGACATTTTTTCACTGTATATATCTCAGTGCAAAACTGGTTAGTTTGGCTCATGTAGTAAAAACAGCCGTAGAAGGAGGATTCACAATTATAACATGTCAATTAAGGCATAGTGTGCGGCTCACAACTGTCCTCTTTTGCTTCCCCCCCTTTCTTACTCTCTGTATTGCTGCTTTGCTTCCCTCACTTGCTCTCGCCCCTTATACAGAGCAATGCTCAGAGCCAGGGTAGGAGACTACCTGGAGACAAAGAAAGGGTACTAAATTGTCACTGGTTCTTTTTCAGGCTTTTTCATTATTCCTCTCAGAAATGTGATCACCTGGGACAAGTTCAGGACTCCTGTTAGACTCCATTATTCCTCCTCCTACAGGCTGCAGGTGGCATGGGCAACTGGTGCCTCCCAAGTCTGGGGGGGTCACCCACAGGTGCTGCCATCGGCAGCGGGGCCAGAGCTGGCAAGCTCCTTCAGGTGCCATCATCAGCAACAGTGGCAGAGCCAGAGCTAGCGAGCTCCTGCAGGCACCACCACCACTGTCAGGGGAGGTCATGTACCCCCGACATGTGTCACCTGTGGCAGGTGGGATGGAAATGGCTGTGCCATGACTCCTCCCATTCTCAGGAGGATGGGCAGGAAATGACAGCATGCCCCAGTGTCTTGTGTATGGTGATGCTCCCCATGACTGCTTGCTTTACAGGGAGACTCTGTATTGACACTAGGCAGCATAGGATGCATTTAATCTGGGCAACACTGAGCAAAGGAATACTACAAAGGCCAGAAAACAAAAAAACGACTCTTCACATTAATTGCATTCAAGTTTCCTCTCTTCTCTAACATGAGGGATGCTACAAGAAATGAAATCAAAATTAACCTGAAAAGTCGCAGAATCTGGACCAAAGCTTCTCCGAAGGCTCAACTGTTTTCCATTATTTTTTTAATTTCTGAACCTCGCTGCAATCCTAGATGCTGGCTGACTGTACAGGCAAGACTCTGAATCCCCTGAAAAGCCTTCCCTACCAAGAATTCCAGCTTGGTTTTCTAGACCCAAGAAGTTTGGCTAACCTTCAAACACTTGACTGGCTGAATTTTTGGTTTATTATCCAAGCTGAAACTTTTGAAGTTCAGCCATTACTATTTTTCATGGATACCATTATAGAATAGGAGATGGCATAGTTTACTGCAGTTCCTCTATGCTGGATATGTTCTTTGGGGGCCTGCACCACTGCACTTTCTTTTTCATTTAATTTCTGCTGTGTCTCTGTTAGATTCATAGCCTCTTTGGATATAGGGATGATACAAATGGCTATTTCCTATGGAAGGTGCACTGTAAACCTCTTATGGGAGTCGACCTCAGTGTTTTGTGTGATTGGTTCACTGTTGTTCCTCAAACATGGTTTACTGAACCAGTAGGCGCAGGAAGGGACCATAAAGACCTTTCTGCATTACGTGTGAAAAATGACCTCCAGGTACCTGGTTTGGACACATCTTGGCAAATGCCATTCTAGTATCTGTCAATTAAGGTTGCATAGATTTAATGAGTCTTTAAGAGAGTCTCAATCAGCTCCTCTTCCTACTGAAGAGCTACCACTGTCACTGTGTTTAACATGCTGCTGCTCTGTTTCATGGAGCTTTGGCAGCTTTTCTGCTGGAGAGGGCTACACTTCACGATTACAAAGAGCATAAAATAGGAGACTTTAGGGGCAACTGGTTGAGTTTGTTGAGATTTGCATCTCAATTACTGTTTTACATAGTTGAAAACACATAGATGATGTACTTTATTCCCTCCCTTCCCCTTTCTTTTTTTCCCAGGCCCCCCTCCTCCACCGCCACATATCCGAGTGAACAAAAAAGATGTGCTGATTACCAAATCCTCCATCAACTTTACATTCAACTGCAGCTGGTTCAGTGACACCAATGGAGCTGTAAAGTACTTTACTGTGGTTGTGAGGGAGGCTGATGGTACGTGTTCATGAATGAATGGAAATGCTAGTGTAGCCCATGTTAGCATTAGATCAGTAACGGCCATCATAAGAGGTGGTTGAATCTAAGAAATCTTGCAATCAGTAGTGGAGTCCTGAGCTTAAAGGTCCTGGTTCCAGGTCCCAACACAGATAGAAACAGTTATACTTCATTCTCTAAGATATGGCCAAGTACGTTTTGGGAAGTTTCCATACCTAGAAGATCTGTATCTTAAACAGTTTAGATGATAAGCTGAAGCAGGTCTGAGCATTTTGCCTTCAATCTATATTGCCTTCAAGGCTTCACAAAAAGCTACTTTAGAAAAAAAAAGGTAACCTGATTCAGTCGCTGTTTACCTAGTAAAGCAAATTCTTCTTACACTTACCACTGTAGATCAGACCATATAATGTATGTAGACACTTTTTTCTCAAAAGGAAGCTATACAGCTATATATAACAGAATAGCTTTATAATTAAAGCATTGGCTTGAGACTCAGAAGATTGGGGTTCTTGGCATTGCTACAAACTTCTTTTGTCACCCTGGGCAAGTCATTTCAATTCTCTTTGGTTTCCATTTAAAAGGTAAAAATACTACTGCTGCATCCCAGCTTATATCTGTCTTGTTTGGGGCAGGGACTGCCTATACATACAATATCTGGCAAAGTTGAGTTTTGGACATTAAGATTGTAAAAGTCATTAAAAAAAGGTTTCATTTCAGAGCACAACAATCACTTCCTATTGCACTGATTGTAGAACATAGCAGATGGCAGGATCCAGACATATGTAACAGAGAGATTCACACAACCATCTCCCAGCATCAGGCTTGACTGGTACTCTGAGCTGGAGAGTTGTATCAAAATGACCTGAAGCTATCTAGTCACTTTGGCAGGCAAGGCAGCAACCACAAGCAAATCTCCCTACAGGCAGGCATGCAGTATTGTTTCAAGTAGGAGATACAGTGCTTTCAGCACCCTGGGCACATCTACACGTGCCAATATGAGGTGCATTAGCCATTTTTAAGGCACATTAAGGGAACAAGTATACATGTGCATGCCCTTAATGTGCTTTTAAAATGGCAATTTTAGGCTATTTGCGCCTATATTTGATACTTGCAAAGGCAGGTATCAAATTTAGGTGCGAATAGCTAAAGCGTCTTAACACACATGTAGATGCAATAAGGCACATTAACACTGTGTATGTCGACTGACTTGGGACTAACTTTATTCTGAAGTCGGTGTGCACACTGCATCAATGCGCCTTAGCATGTGCACATGTAGACAAGCACCTAAATTGCCTTAGTGTGCATTAGGCAAATGCACATTTAGTTTAGGCACCTAGACAAGTCAGCTGAGACTTTGTCTACATTAGGCTGCTTTTTCTGCCAGAAGTTCTGGCAGTCTTCAGCAACAGATTGGAAGTTCTTAAGCCAGAATGCCAGTTCATTTTGATACACATAATATCAAATAGCATAATCCTGTCTGGAGGAATTTGCTCTTTACCAAAATCAGCTGTGCCATGGGAAGCAGGTGACCTGCCTAACTGTAAGTGCTGATGGTAGCACAGCTATTAGTGACCACTACAGTTATCAACAGTTCATAAATTGTGTTTTTTCCATTAAACTCAAAGTGCTTTAGAAAGGAAGGTAAGACTTCATATCTGTTTGGCAGATGGGAAATCTAAGCTTTCCAGCAAATTAATAGTCAGTCTGGGAGCAGAACCTAGATATCTTGATAGCCAATGGGTACCCTAACTACTAGACCATCCAGCCTCCTAAATGTAGAAGAGCAGATCCTACTTTCAGTCTGAATCGATGTGCTTTAACTGAGTATCTGTGAGGCTTATGTCTTCACTTACAAGTTGTTTTGAACTCTAGGTTTGAAACTCCTATGCCTGAAGTTTGTCAAATGTTGAATATAGCTTTGAATGTCTTGGTCTTTTAAAACCATACAGTACTAACATAATGAGGCCTATGGCATATGTAAACCCTCTCTCCCATGCCCTATAGATCTTTTTTTTTTCACCTTTGTAGACAACGCAGAGCAGAAGCCAGAACAGCATCACCCGCTACCTTCATATTTGGAGTACAAGAACAATGATACCATTCGAATCTACCAAACAAACTATTTTGCGAGCAGATGTGCTGAAAACCCTGACAACAACTATAAAAGCTTTGACATTAAGCTTGGAGCTGAGATGGAAAGTCTAGGAGGAAAATGTGATCCAGATCAGCAGAAATTCTGTGATGGGCCACTGAAGCCTCGGACTGCCTATAGGTTAGATTTACTGTAGTAATTGTGCTTCAAGAGATGTATTGTATTATTAGGCACTGTGGTATCTCAATGCCTGATGTACTTCAGCTACTGTA